TCCTATACTGCATAATTCACACATTCAGGGCCAGCGACCAGACATAAAGAGTCAAACTTCTATTCACCTATTCTCTTACAGTAGCCGCAAGCCACGAGTCCTAAGACTTCTCAATCAATACTCAGCCGCTGATCCATGCGACAGCATAAACTTTCAACTTACCACATCGGCACCTCATAACAGACATTAATCCCACGGCCCTGAAATCAATACGCCATCATTTCTCTTTTGTGTATTCAGCACCCTAAACAATCCGGCAATAACAAACACAAGCAAACACGGGCTGTATTAATGTCCCCATCCTTTAAAACAGTCTAATGAAGCTTCGACTCATAAATGACTCTGTCTGGGAATGTAAGCAACGTTAAATATACATTACTCTGGTCCCTGGAAGTGTGCGGTCAGGGGCACGCTGAGCACACATTTGGTGTGGCTACACAAACAACTGGCTATGAATAAATAAATGCAGAGCAGTGCCTGTCCGGACAAAAAGGAAGAGTCTGCCTCACGCCTCGGGCTAATTTATGCCAGCCTAGCGGCCACAAACAATTAAAGGGAAGACAATGAGGTGAGGGGGTTCAGCTCATCAGATAGGTCAGAAAATGGAAATGCAATATTGATCTTTAAAGCACGATGCGTGCGTGCCAGGGTCGACATTTAGGTAACAGTGCAATTTCAAAGCACGCCACGAAGCTTTGAAATGAAAGCAAGTCTGTAAAGTGCGCTTCTTGTGGAGCATCTGAATAACTGATCACAGTTTAACAAGTTTTCAGCATCACGGACAGCTCCTGACAAATTTAGTGGGTCTGACAGGCGGTGTGTATAAGACAGATCGTGAAGAGAAAAAGAGAGCATCCATCTCTCTTTCTATATGAGCATGCTTGTTTTAATGAGCATGTATGTGAAGTGGGACAGGGAGATGTATACTGGAATACATGGTCCTCAATGGAGAAGCCATACCTTGCCATCAATCATGGGGAGAAGGCTCGTGAGGGAAGGTGGAAGTCAGAAATGGGGAGAGAGATAAACAGAGAGAGAGACATGGGGATGGAGGCGGTTGCAGGTTTGCTGCCAGTCTCTTGATTAATCTGGACAATATTCTGTTTTATGAGTCATTTCATTCCCTAACATTGCAGAGCTCTCCTCTTGCACAATAAAGAGGTCTCGGCAAAGGCTATTGACCACTTTCTAAAGATCTGCCAGCCTGGAAGACAAATGAAGTGTGGCCTCACATTCAGTCGTATTAATATAATAATGATATCCGGGTCTGCATCCCTGGCCGCCACACCTCAGCCCCATAATGTAGGATTAGATGAAGAAGGAGAGCAGAGGAATTACATTCGATTAGCACTAAACAAGAGAATGAGACGTGGAGCGATTAAATCAATCAAGTGCGGGACCGGGACAGTCACAGAGGGAGTGTGTGTGTGTGTGTGTGTGTGTGTGTGTGTGTGTGTGTGTGTGTG